CCACGGTTAAAGAACCAGCGTGCAGTCATCTTCTCGCAACCGTTGGCATGTAGAGCCTCAACGTACTGGAAGGAGTGCAACGTGAGCGCAGCCGACACACCAACGGTAGGGGTGACACAATCAAGCACACAGTTGAAATGCGCGCAAATTGTCGGTGTGGTTCTAGCCCGATAATGAGGAGGTGCAGGCGTGGAAAGACCAGAAGTGGACGGTGGTACGTTGAGAAGCTCCACGAGCAGAACATCCGGAGAGAGTGAGGTCGGAGTTTGCTGAACTTGGTCGAACATGTTGTAGATGAGAGCTGGGAACGCGGCGGCTTGGGCGGTGAGGGCAAGCGTGACAGCGAGTAAGGGTCTCGTAGAAAGTCGGAGCCCGGGAAGAGTGACAGGCATTCCTCTTTCGATGTCTCGACACGGACCAAGCGGAGGAAAAAGTCATTAGTAGCATCTATGGAGATGTTCCGTTTCTTGATCATCGATAATTCGGAAGCTCTCTCAAACAGATGCCAGAGAGAACAGCATCGTGGTAGTCACTCTCAGAACAAGCATTAGTATACAAATATATCAGTATTTTTTTCCAAGTCAGCCTTCGTAAATGGTGGAGCTTTTGCTACGAAGCCAAACCATATTTTTTCGAGCAAAAGCCAACTAAAGTTTTCCTCATTTTAAGCAGCCGTGATTCTAGCGCCCCTCTGTGCTAAGGAAATTGCTCTAGGAGCCAAATCTTTGCCATAGTACTGCTTTGCAGCGTTTCCCGGTAAAAAAAAATGCCCTTCTTTTTTCTAAACGCAAGATACATTCCGAACTCATCCATGACAAATAGAATGCTCTCGCCATTTTCACCTCCCTCAATACATTTCGTACGTATTCCTCTTCAACTTCCACACCCTTAAAAAAACTTGGAGAATACTGCGACAGCAGTTGCCTTAGCTCGAAGTATGTTGCCAGTTTGTAGCTTCTCCAAACCCATCGTGACGGTCCGATAAAGAGAAATTTGAAGATGATATGCCCAACATTTGGCAATTGAGCGAATATAAACATATGTTAGGGGTGCATCGGACTTGATGCGCCCGTTTGGTGGTTTGACGACTCAACTAGATATGCACTGTCCTATTAGCGAAAATTACGATTAGTGTTAAGTGGGATTAACTGGGATTCATTGCTGGTAGTAAATGGCAAATTATCTCATACAAATTCAAGTATGGCCCGATAAACTAGCATATTCGGCCAAAACAGAAAGCATCTTAACTGCAATAAATATTGTATTTTTGAACGTAATAGCTTTTACTGGAT